GGAACATCTTTATTACAGGGCTTATTTCAGGTTAAGTTAAGCTATGTACCTTACCCCTCTGTCAAGGTTTCATGTGCTAATAGAGGCCAATGTTACTCTTATTCTTTGAAACCAAATGATCAAGAGGTTTGTGCCATAATTGTATTTTTCTGGGTCATGATTTTATCCCTCAGGTCTGGTTTTGAATCTGATCTCTCTTGTAATGGACTTTCTTTGCATTGGTTGGTGTTCTCCCTATTGACAAGTCTGTTTCCTTTTTGATAAGTAGCTTCATGCTCTTGGAATTGTTTAGACACAGATGCTAGCCCAGATGACAGACAGGTGAGTAGTATCATGGCTTTCCTGGGCACACTTAAATATAGTGTGAGTATTTATGGAACCACTAGTAAAGCAGACAAATGGAAAATTTGAGATGACACATCTGTGATTTACTAGACTAAGATGTCCCTGGTATTCTTCCTTATTCATATCCTTGGAAAAGGATCAAGATTTTAAAATCTTGAAAAGTGAAGCAGTTCAGGTGAATATGTATTCATTTAGGATTTATACTGGGCCCTCTTCCAAAAGAACTGAATGAAAATTGCTTGCATATATAAAGGGAAAAGGTAGAATAGAATCCATCCTTAGAAAGCAGGTGGATGGATGTCACTGGCCACTTGAGAGGCACCAATCTCCCTGCTTGAATCCTGACTTTGTCTCTGAAATCTTTGCAGTTTTTCATCCAGCAGTAGACAGCAGACACGTTCCTATTGCAGATGTATGGATTTATCACAAATTATTATCAGGCACTGTGTACTGTGAATTCCTAGAAACAGATCAGAGATCCTGTCCCTGAATGGAGCCAGAGTTTGGGTAATGCAAACGAACAGACCTGTAGAGATGCTTCTTTGCTGCCAGGTCTGTATTTAGCATTGCTATGGAGATTACCAAGTCCCTGCCCTGGCTCCAAACAGCTCACTGTCTAAGGTAATGCTGTCCTATGGAACTTTCTATGAGGTGGAAATGTTCTCTGTGTTGTTCAACCCAGTAGTCACCAGTCACGTATGGCTATCGAGCACTTAAAATGTGATTAATGCAGGTAAGGAGCTAAATTTTAAATATTTACTGAATTTTAATTAATTTTATTATAAATAGCCACATGTGGCTAGTAGCTACCATGTTGAACAGGGCAGGTCTAGGGAGAAGATGCACATAAACACTTAGCTGGAATGGGTGTGCAAACAACAAAGGAGGGAGTGATTAATCAAATCTAAATGAAAAGCTACTTAAGGGCCCATTAGATGGTGTCTCTCAAGGATCAGACATTCTATCAAAGCTTTGGCAGGTTATGGCTCACTGCCAGGTCATGATGCAATTTTCTAAAAAGGACTGGCTGTGCCTTGTTTTATAGCCTTCATTAAAATGCACACTTAGCTTCAGATGCCAGTGGTGGTGGGTCAGGTTGCAATATGAGGTCAAGTTTGTGTTCCCTTCCAAAGGGACATAATCTTCTGAAGGCAAACCTTGGCTGCTGGAGGTGTCTGTGGGTGGAACCAGCACTTTTCTTATTCAATAGGTCTTCTCAAGGACACATAAAAGTCTGTGGGGAACATTTCTAAAGTTCTGCTGTGTTTGAAAAGAATTTCCAGACAGGTATCACCAGTTCACTATGTAATTTTTCCATTTAAAAGAAAGTCTTTGTGACCCTCTGAAGTGGAATGAGATAAGTTGAATACTACCTACTTATACAGGGATTGGAGGTTTTGAACAGCCTGGGATGAATCAGTTGCTTTTTAAAATATGTTAGTGCCAAAGAGAGAACTTGTGGGATTCTTGTCTCCATCCCAAGCTGAGTACTTTTGGGTGGCACAAAAGGGCTAAAGAATATGAACCTATTTGAAAAAAAAATTGAATATAATATCTTTATAAGAGTATTTGTTCTTGTCTTGGATTTAGCAGCTGTGATTGGTTGTAAGATTATTTTCCTTTTTGCAGGGTTACAGATGGAACTCAGGGCCTAATACATGCCAGGCAAACACTGTACCACTGAGCTACACCCCCGGCCCTGGTTGAAACCTTTTTTTTAAAAAAATATTTACTTTTAGTTGTAGTTGGACACAATACCTTTTTTTATTGATTTTAAAAAAAAATAAATGACAGTACAATGCATTACAATTCTTATTACACATATACAGCAAAATTTTTCATATATCTGTTGTATATAAAGTATGTTGACATATAATTCGAGCCTTCATACATGTACTTTGGACAATGGTGTCCATCACATTCTACCATCCTTGTTAATCCCCTGCCCCCTCCCTTTCCCTCCCACCCCTCTGCCCTATCTAGAGTTTGTCTATTCCTCCCATGTTCTCCCTCCCTACCCCGCTATGAATCAGCCTCCTTATATCAGAGAAAACATTCAGCATTTGTTTTTTTTGGGGTTGGCTAACTTCACTTAGCATTATCTCCTCTAACTCCATCCATTTACCTGAAAATGTCATGATTTTATTCTCTCTTAATGCTGAGTAAAATTTCATTGTGTATATACCACAGTTTCTTTATCCATTCATCTACTGAAGGGCATCTAGGTTGGCTCCACAGTTTAGCTCTTGTGAATTGTGCTGCTATAAACATTGATGTGGACACAATACCTTTATTTTATTTATTTTTATGTGGTGCTGAGGATCAAACCCAGGGCCTTGCACGTGCTAGGTGAGTGCTGTGCTGCTGAGCCACAACCTCAGCCCCTGTTTGAAAGCTTTGAAGAAGTCTTCATAGCTCAGAATGTAGTTTGAGATTGAATGGTTTTATCCATAAATGGTTTGTATCTGTTGAATCCAAGGTCATTGAAGGATTAATAATACAAAATTGTGTTATGTTGCTCTTAACTCTTTAGCTAATGGCATGTGGCAGGATATATTGACAAACACTAAAGGAATGGCTGGGACTGCAAGCAAAATATTTGTTGGAGGAGTGTACTCTTACAATTTTAGAGCATTTTGGATTTCAGATTTTTAGGTAGGGATGCTGTATTTTGAAATCAGTGAGTATAATGTCTCCATATTTGTTCTTTTTCCTCAAGGTCACTTTGGCAATTTAGAGTCTTTTGTGATTTCACACGAATTTCAGGATTGTTTTTTTTTTTGTTTTTTGTGAAAAATGACATTGGAATTTTGATAGGAATGTCATTCAATCTGTAGAATGTTTGAGTAGTAAGAACACTTTACAAATATTAAGTGTTCTATCCATGAAGATGGAATATCTTTCCAATTATTTATGTGTCCTTCAATTTATTCCATTTTTTTCCAGATTTTATTGTATAGATCTTTCACTTCCTTGGTTAAATTTATTCCTAAGAGTTTTTTTTTTTTTTTTGTACTGAAATTGAACTCAGGGCCTTACTTACTTAGGCAAGTAATGTACTATTGAGCTATATCCCAGGGCCTCACATATACCAAACAAGCTACATATACAGAACTTCCTAGTACTATTTTAAATTTTATTTTAAAATAAGTTCTCACTAAGTTGCCCAGGTTGACTTCAAACTTGCAATTCACTGTCATCAGTCTCCCATATAGCTGGAATTACAGACTTGTGCCACCATGCCCATCATCTTAAGTGTTTTTAATGATAGTTAACTAGGATTGTTTTCTATTTTTTAAAACTTACTTAGGCCAGGTGCAGTGGCACATGCTTATAATCCCATTGACTTGGGAGGCTGAGGCAGGAGGATTTAGAATTTGAGGCCAGTCCCAGCAAATCAGTGAGGCCACAACCAATGTAGTAGGACCCTGTGTAAAAATTAAAAAGGCCAGGATGCCAGGTGTGCTGGCACATACCTGTAATACAAGCAGCTCAGGAGGCTGAGGCAGGAGTATCATAAGTTCAAAGCCAGCCTATATAAAAGCAAGGTGCTAAGCAACTCAGTGAGATCTGTCTCTAAATAAAATACAAAATAGGGCTGGGGATGTGGCTCAGTGGTTGAGTATCCCTGAGTTCAATCTCCAGTAACCCCCACCTCAAAAAAAAAAAAAAGGTCAGGGGTGTGACTCACTGGTAAAGTACCTCTGGGTTCAATCTCCAGTACAACCGCCACCCCCAAACAAACAAAAACTTATTTGGAGTATATAGAAATGTGACTGATATTTTTGTGTTTATTTTGTAACCTACAATTCTACTGAATTTATCAGTTCTTCATTTCCTATATGAATGCCTTTTATTTCTTTTTCTTGCTTAACTGCACTGCTTTTTCTTCACCCCATAAGTTTTGATGGGCTGTGTTTCCTTTTTTTCTTTGTCTCAAGATACATTTTAATTTTCCTTTTGATTTCTTCTTTGACCTATTAGGAGCATATTGTTTGATTTTCATCTATTTGTGAGTCCTCCAAGATTGCTACCATTATTGATTTGTAGTTTCATTCACTTGTGGTCAGAAGAGATACTTGATATGATTTCAGTCTTCTTAGATGTGTTTGAACTTGTTTAGTATCCTAATGTATGATCTGTCCTGGAGAAAATTCTGTGTGCATTTGAGAAGTATTTTTTTTTTTTTTGCTATTGGATGGAATGTTCTATAATATTGTTGGATCTATTTGATCTAAAATGTAGTTTCAGTCCAATATTTCCCTATTGATTTTCTGTTTACTTCATCTGTCCAATGTCAAAAGTGGGGTCTCCTATTTTTGTATTACAGCCTCTTCATATCTATTAATATTTCCCATTAAAATTGAGATGTTCTAATGTTAGTTGCATATATATTACAGTCATTGTAACTCCTTGATTAATTAGCATTTTTCATTATATAATCACCTTCTTTGTCTGTTTTTATAGTATTAGACTTATAGTCTATTTTGTTTAATGTAAGCATATTACTCTCACTATTGGTTTTCATTTGTAGAGACTTATCTTTCTTATCCCTTTATTTTCTAAAGAGAAATTACTATATCAAGAAAATATTTTAGTATTATTTTGTTTCATGCAAAGATAGTTAAATTTTTAAATTCTCTTTTTCTTTTTAGGATCTGGAGACTCTGATGATTTTAATCTGGAGGATGCACTGAAAGAAACTTCCTCAGTAAAGCGTGAGTAGTAAATCAAACTATTAAAACCAAACAGTAGTGATTAATAGGGACTACCCACTCAGAATATATATACCCTCAAGAATAACAAGGTAGTCTATATTACACTTGATCAGGTTAAGCATGACTAGAAATTATATTATTTTTAAAATATGAATATGTGAAGTCCTTTGTTGAGAAAATCTAACAATGTCCCCAAGAGGGAACTACAGTAGGCTGTGGAGTATGTTAGTTTTTTTGTGCTGTTCTGTCAATTTATTCTATAAATCTTTTTCTAAAGATTAGTTGGTATTTTTTGTTTTCCATTACATGTGCAGGGCTTTTTCATATGTACATATATAGCTTGTTTTTGACTGCTGCTTCGTATGCTACAGTATGCATTCAGCAAACATCTGAGTGCCACCTCTGTGACAGTTCTTTTTTTTTTTTTTTAGAGAGAGAGCGAATTTTAATATTTATTTTTTAGTTTTCGGCGGACACAACATCTTTGTATGTGGTGCTGAGGATCGAACCCGGGCCGCACACATGCCAGGCGAGCGCGCTACCTCTTGAGCCACATCCCCAGCTCTCTGTGACAGTTCTTGTTTTAGGCACTGGGGAGATAGAGCACAGACTGGTGCCTCTTAGAACTAGCATTCCAGTAGTATGGATTTGGCCATGGCCAATAATGACATTTATTCACTGGCAGATATGTAGTTTTTTCCCCCCTTTTTACACAATTACAAATAGGGCTACAGTGAACATTCTTGTCCATGTCCTTTGTACCTATGTGTAATGAAACTGCTAGGGCAAAGTGTATGTGTATTTTACATCTCAGTAAATTTTGTCAAATTGTATTCCAAAGTGGGTGTGCTGTTATGTACTGCCACTGATATTGTTGCAATAAGACCTTTTTTCTCAGACCTGCTACAATAACACTAGATTTTTCTTATCAATATTTTCCAAATATGATAGACAAAACAATATCTCATTGTTTATTATGCATTCCCCTGATTATAGTACGATAGAGCATCATATTACATATTTATTGGCCAGTTGCATTTTCCTCTTTGATGAACTGTCTGTTCACATCCTTTCCCCATCTTTCTGCTGGCTACTCATCTTTTCAAAATGAGTTTAGAGGATTTCTTTGTATATTCTGTGTTGAGAAAGTTAGGGGCTCTGGAGTGAGACCCTTCCTAGGTCTGAACCCAGCCTCTGCCATTAATTGACTGTCACCTTGTATAAGTCAAGTGATTTCTCTGCATCTCAGTTTCCTCATCTAATAATAATAATAATAGTAATAATAGTAATAATAATAATACCTGCCTTCTGGGATAATTGTAAGGATTAGATGAGATGATCCACGTGAAGCATTCAGCACAGTACTTGGAACAAGGTGAATAACAAGTGTTAGCCATTGTTGTTCTTTGACTGGCTTGGTTGGAGTGACTGACTGTGATTGGGCAAGCATACCCAAGGAACACACAGACCTGCCTAAATCAACTGATAGACTCAACACAGTTCCTGCCAAGATTCCAGCTGGACTTTTGCAGAAATGAAAAGGCTGATTCAAAAATTCATATGGAAATTCAGGTGACTCAAAATCTTCAAAACTTAATGCAAAATGTATAATATTCAAAGTATTGTGGTATGGATAAAAAGACAGATTTAGAGATCTGTGGACTAGAATTGAGAGTCTAGAAATAAACCCTGACATCTATGGCCAGTTAATTTGTTGTAAAACAAATGCCAAGATCATTCAAAGGGCAAAGAACAGTCTCCATCAAATGGCGCTGGGACAACTGGCTATCCACATGCAAAAGAATGAAGTTGGACCTTTACCTTATACCACACACAAAAATCAACTCTGAAGGATGATAAACCTAAAAAACTATATATCTCTTAGAAGTTAATGTTTGCATGTGGTGTGAGGTAAGAGGTTAGAGTGTTCTTAGGACTTTCCTGAGCATGCACACAGTCTTATGCATGTGAGTGGCCTCTTTGATTCCCAGGAAAATAAATAATTTATTGACAATGTTGATTTTAATGAAATTATTAAACATTTCTAAAAGTAACAAGACAAGAAATGATAAGTATAAACAGACTCCAAATTAATAAACTTATTATTCTTTAATGGGGCCTTTTTATATGGTGCTAGATATTGAACCCAAGCCTGTGCATGCTAGGCAGGTGCTCTGTCACTGAGTTACACCCCAGCCCCTTAGTATTAGTATTAATACTAATACCCCCTTCTGAGTCATGTGCCAGACCATCTAATCTGAGTCTTAGGCACCCATCAGCCAGTGTGTCTGGAACTCTTAGCGCCACCAAATGTCATGTCTGTTGTTGAAAGACAGCCCTTAGGACCACATCATGCTGCCACCTTTTGTTTTCTACCTTACCTTACATTTCATGTAGTTGAGATTTCAAAGACATAGGCCTTGGTCCAATCATTTATCCTATGGAGAATGTTCTCATTTGTACATTGTGCATTCCTTCTCTTGTTTAAAAAAATTCATGAACCACCTAGTTTGGGGTACCCTTGTCAGTGACCTCTGTCTATTCATTCATCAATGCTTAATGTGTACCTGCTTGCTGCCAGGCACAATCCTAGGTGTTAGGCATATTCTGTGGAAAAGGTCACTGCCCTTATGAAGTTACTTTCTTCAGGAGGACACAGAAAGTACCTAAAATAATTTCAGGATGATGTGATGGTGGAGGCCCAAAGAGGTGATAAGGAGCAGCTCCTTTAGATACAGTGGCAAAGGTTCTCTGAAGAGAGGTGATGTGCAAGGAGCCATGCAGATTGGGGAAAAAGCCTTCAAGGCTAAGGGATCAGGCATGAGAACTCTGAGGTAGAAAAGTGCTGGGCTTACTCGGGCCTGGAACGCAGCCTGTGTGGCTGGAGTGTGGAGAGAGTTGGAGAAAGCATAGAGAAGTTGTCAGGGAACAAATCATACAGGATCTCATAGGGCATGGTGGTGACTTTTATTGTAGGTGTAAGGGGAAGCTCCTTAAGGATTTTTGAATAGCTTTATTGGCATATAATTCATATTCCATAAAATTTACCCATTTCAACATGTACAATGCTTTTAGTGTACTTATAGGATTGTGCAACCATGACTGTTGTCATTTTCTCTTCTTTTCTGTAGTGCTAGGAATGGAATCCTGGGCTTTGCACACATGAAGCAAGCACTCTACCCCCACTTACTTTTCCAGCCATCAGTCAATTTTGGAATGTTTTCACCATATCATAAAAAATAAGCCCTGTACCCTATGTTACTTCATTTTCTATGGCTGTAGCTGAATGCACAGACTGGGTTGTTCATACAAGATAAAGACTGGTTTGGTTCATGGTTCTGTGGGCTGGGAAGTGTAGGAGCATGGTGCTAGAATCTGGGGAAGGCTTCTTGCTGCATCATGGCATGGAGAGACAAAGCAAGTCAGACCTTGTTTTTGTAACAAAGCCATTCCTACAATGACCATTATTTCAGTAAGACCCTCCTGAGGTCAGAGCCCTCATGACCCCATCATTTCTTTTTTTTTTTTTTTTTTTTAGAGAGAGAGAGAGAGAATTTTTTTAATATTTATTTTTTAGTTTTCGGTGGACACAAAATCTTTATTTTTTTATTTTTATGTGGTGCTAAGGATTGAACCCAGCACCCTGCGCTTGCCAGGCAAACGCATTACTGCTTGAGCCACATCCCCAGCCCAACCCCATCATTTCTAAAGATCCTTCTTGTCAGCATTGCTGTATTGGGGACCAAAACATGTGAGCTTTGGAGGACATCTTCAAACTATGGTAACCGTTGTTTCTTTTTCTTTTTCTTTTTTAAGATTTATTTAGTTGTAGATGAACATACAGTATCTTTATTTATCTTTATGTGGTACTGAGGATCGAACCCAGTGCCTCACACATGCGAGGCAAGCACTTTGCCACTGAGCTACAGCCCCAGCCCCTATGGTAACCCTTTACTTGTCATCACCAATCCCCTGATTCTTCCCGTTCCCACCCTTCACCCTTAAGCAACCACTAATCTCTTTGTGTTTCTGTGGATTTCCCTATTCTGGATATTAATGGAATCATTCTTTTTGTGGACTTTATTTCTGGCACCTTTCACATAGTGTAATGTTTTCCAGGTTCATCTGAGTTGCTTTCACAATTTTGTCCCCTACTCAGTCTTCAGTTCTCCTGGAGTAATACATGTCTGCTTTTGAGAAATAAAACTTTTTATGATGTGGGCCCAGTGGTTTGTGCTTTTAGTCCCAGCAATTTGGGAAACAGGTAGGAGGATAACTTGAGCCAGAAGTTCAAGGTCAGTTTGGACTACATAGTGAATCCCTATCTCAAAACACAACACAACAAAACAAAACAAAAAATGTAAAAAATGTAACTTTTTGTGAGTGTCCTTGTTTCCTAGGAATGCCATGGTCCCTGTCTTAGTATATTTGGTTTATTGTAGCAAAACATCTTGACTAGGTAATTTATTTTAAAAGGAGAAATTTACTTATCACAGTTCTGGAGGCTAGGAAGTCTAAGATCAAGACACATTTGATGTCCGGTGAAGTCTTCTCTTTGCTTCATAAATAGTGTCTTCTATTGTTGTCCTCAAGTGGTACAAGGGACAAATCGGCTGCCTCAAGCTTCTTTTACAAGGGCCCAAGTGCCATTTATGAGGTCAGAGCCCTCATACCTAATCAATCCCCAAAAGCCCCACTTTTTAATACCATCACTGTTTGGGTTAGATTTCAACATGAAATTTTGGGGACACACAAAAGTTCAGACCATAGCAAGCACTATCATTAAACCACAGCAAGATGATTGTACCATTTTTGTTTACTGTGTTGGTTGCAGCACCATATTATAGAGAATCACTCCACATAGGATTGCCTTGATGCTGGAAGCATTTGCTGAGCAGCCAAGAAATTTTAAAGCTTTAATTTTGAGAAAGATATCAGAGAAATAGTTTTTTTTTAATTTTTTAAAAATTTTAGGACCTTAATGCTTTGAAGAAGTTGAC